TGTGTGTGTGTGTGTGTGTGTGTGTGTGTGTGTGTGTGTGTGGTTTTTTCAGTTATTAGTGGATGATGTTTGCATCTGAGGGATCAGAGATCTTGAGTTTCCAGCTTTGCCCTGAGCTCTTCCCTTTTCTGCAATGAGATTTTCCACACTAAAAAGCTTTAATGACACAATTAGCTGTGGAGTAAGAAATATGTAGCTTTTTTGTCTAACACTAAGGTACTGTACATTATTAAAAAAAACTGTTCAAAACTGTCGTCATGCATGTTGATAACAGAGAATTCCCTGCCAGCCTTCACTCCTGAATTTTTAGTTCAAACTGTGTGCAGTGTGAGTTCAAGGTATGAGGCATGCATGAAAAAAACAGCTGACTTCATCAATAGTACGCTTAGTTTCATAGAACCCATAAAAGCACACAGGTATGTAATCCAACGCCAGGTATTTATTGCTTCGGCAGTGTTCAGGTGAAGGGTGTGGTGGGAAAGTGTCACCTGAAGAAACTTTGCCAAAAAAAAAAATACAGCCCGGTTGAGCAGAGATCACATCTTCAAATAGTTACTTCCCTCTGAGCCACCTTTCCATTGATCATGTCTCACTTTGTCTCCTTTGATTTCTCACCTGTTTTCTTCTCTTTTCTTTCCTGCAAAGTTTGACTCATGCTTTCTCACCCTGCCTCACGCACGGATCAGACGGTGAAGTGCCCTCCGTGCGGCAGATTTCTGAAAGTCTTTAATGCAATCATTTCAAAACAACTACCTTCTATTGCTGCTTTAGTGTGAGTCATGAAACTCCTCATCCTGATTCGTGAGTTGCACCATCACATCTTAATAGGAAACTTGGATATTTGGTCATGTAGCTATTTGAATCCTATTGTGGTAGACTATCACTTAAAATTATTTTAAGGCAGGGTTATTCAACTGAACAGGGCTGGACACCCTTCAGTCATTGTCATTACCTAAWCTGAACTGAACTGCAAAGCTGTGTCATCTACAAGCCTGGCAAAAAGTATGGAATCACCAGTCTTGGATGAGCACTCATTCAACATTGAAGACATTGTGGAAGTCAGTGAATGTTACTTTTATTGACCAAGCACAGGGGAAAAAATATGGAATCACTCAATTCTGAGGAAAAAGGTATGGAATCATGAAAAACAAATAAACAAAAGACCATTAAAAATACATCACTAGTTTTTAGTTGCACCACCTTTGGCTTTTATAACAGCTTGCAGTCTCTGAGGCATGGACTTGATGAGTGACAAACAGTATTCTTCATCAATTAGGTGCCAACTCTCTTTGATAGCAGTTGCCAGATCAGCTTTGTAGGTCGGAGACTTCTTGTGGACCTTTTTTTCCCTCCAATTTCCACCACAGGTTTTCAAGTGGGTTGAGATCTGGACTATTTGCAGGCCATGACATCGACTGAATGTGTCTTTCTCCAAGGACTGCCTTCACTGTTTTTGCCCTATGGTACGATGCTTTGTCATCTTGGAAAACTATTTCATCACTTCCAAACATCTGTTCA